CCATCAAATGGTCAGATATTAGACTACCACAATCATGGGCATTACAAAATGCCAATCAACCTCAAGAGGTTCCTCAAAATCATATTCCCAATCAAATAATAGAACATCATGATGGTAATATTGAAATTAAATTTAACCAATTACAAGTTCAAGATGATATAAATATAAATAGAAAAAAGAATATTAAAAATAAAATACCAAGTAGAAAATCTTATTCTACAGACCCAAATGTGATAATATTACCACCTCCTACTGTGTCTTCTTCAATACCCAGTTCAGACCTACATTTTCAAGGAATAAGGAGAACATCCGATCATGTAATTATACCTACATATACTCCTGAATCTAGTACTATTAATACTACTGAACCTAGTATAGAAGAATTAAAAGATTTCCAAATATTGACTTTACAAGTAGAGGAATATGATAATAATCAATACACAGATGAATATATAGCAGCATATTTAGCCGCTAAATTGGAAAGAAAAAAGATAAAAATTGATCATACTTATATTAAGCAAGATTTTATGTCTGATGAAAATAGACAAATCAGACAATGGTATTTGACAAATATACAGTTACCATTAAGAGAAAAATTACAGGCCAAATATAATAAGTTTCTTAAAAAGGAAAGAAAATCAGAAGGATATTTTTCATGGTTAATAAATAACTATCAACATCAGCTTCATATCCCTTCTTCTTTTGATGATGAGATTCAAACAATAGAAGAAAAAACCTATATCAGTACGTATGGTACTACAACTGCTAGTATTCACCCTTTTGAGAAAAGCCTAATACTCAAGACAATTATTCCATTAAAAGATGAACCTACAAAATCGCCATCTTTATATGATATAATTGCTACTCCATATAAAATCTTACCCAAAGAACTTGGTAAAAAACAAGAATTGATTCCACATATAGTAGAACAAAATAATTATACCAATCTTTATATGTAATCTTTAGGAAAACAAGCAGAAAGAATAGAAAGACTTGTTACTAAAGAACAACCTTCTACTACAATCATACCAAGATCAGTTTTGTTCAAACCACCTCCAGAATTAAATAAAAATAAATTTCATATAGGAGAAAATAATAAATCCCTTA